ATAATTGGACAAACCAGAAAAGTAATCAACGTAAAAAGATTGGTATACCTTAAGAATTTCAGCGAAATGGTAACTGATCGGAATATCAGCCGAATTATTATTTTTAAACCCGTCGTGGAGAGAAATCTGTGGTCAGGCTCTCAATCGACACATTTACCAAAATGGCTCCAATTTGCCAATTCCTGTTCTTTGACATTTATATTAATGCAAGAATTTTAATCGTGTTATTTTTAAGTAGCAGAGCTTTTCAATTTGAGCAGCGACTCTTCTTAAACGTAATGATTTCGAATATATTCGAGAGATTATGATTCCGCGAGTGACATAATTCTGCACCCAACACAGTCAATAGAAAATCAATACTTCACCTTTGCCATGATGATATATAAAAGTTTTTAGAGTGCAAGATTTAATCAACACTTACTTCAGACTTTTAAAACGTTCTTTCTCCGGGTTACTATCCGGTGGTTCGCACTCGAACGATGCCAACGAGAGAGCTGAAATAATTTTACCATCAGAATTTCATTATTTCTCTCAGCTCTAAATGAACTGGAAAAATCGTCCAGTGCAGTACAAAATAAACGTATATCACTAATAAAAGTTGGATGTAATAAAAGTAAAGTACTTCACTGGAATAAAAAAAAATTGAAGAGCCAGAAGCGGAAAATGGAAGGGTTAAACATAAAAGTTTAAGAAGCAATTTTCTTACCATTTTCTGTTAAAACAGGACTTGCTTGGAGAAACGCTATGACCCGAGAATTCTTTTCAAATGGGCATGTCACTTGTTTCCACGCAATGAATTCCGTCACCTGTTTGGCTAGCTGCCAGAATTTTTCGAAGTTGATGTGGCCATTTGGAAGTCTGCAAATGGAAAGAAAGAAAAAAACAATTCTAGCATTCTGTTGATTTTGGTGAAAGGATAAAGATGTCTGAGGGGAACCATAAAGGGTCTTTCAAGCTGTCTAAACATTCGTCATATCGGTTTCGATGAGAGGGAATGCTCGGTATCTATTACGTACTTATTGCTGCACCCTTCGTTGAGGAAATAGAGGTCCTTCACGAGAAGACTGAAGAAAGGAACGACGATTCGTTGTCTTTCGTCTGTAGCTCCCACACTTCGCCACATGGCCGCTTTTAATGTACTACGATAGCTGCTGAAATTACTACTGGGATCCATTTGGTGCTCGAGAATAGCAAACTTGGCTGATTGAACTTTTGACCACTGCAAATGGAATCCAAGGAATTTTTATGAATACTCTCCGAAAGTGTGAATTCTTTCTTAATAGAGCAATTGTTTACGGAATGAAAATTCCT